GATTGCTGCGTGTTATCCCCTTAGAGGTCAACTGCGTCTGCAATCATTTTTCTAGTAAGGAGCTTTTAACTTAAAAAATATGAATACAATCTGAATCAATTGGCCTATATGTTCGATCTTGCATTGTTATTCACTTCTTAGCATGACATTCTAAGCTCCTATGATAAGAGTACTGAGAAACATTTCTGAAACTGTATAAATCGTCTCTAGATTTCTGAGGATGTGATAGTTTCCCCTAAAGATCTCTTGACTTCATCGTTCTTCAAATTAAACATATCTGATCGTCCAATATATGTAGTTAACTAACCGCTGGTTGAGCCATTTCTTCGAGCTCTAGAACATCTTCTTTTTCAAATAATAGACATTCAAACTAATATTTTTGGGTAAAAGCTTACTTGGAGCGATTGTTAATTAATTAAGAACGAGTTGCTGAAAAGATTAGAGATGACTGTCGGAAAATGACAAGTTGGATGATGAACAAGCACCAACCTTAAGATGTCAGTAGAACGATTAACACTGTACACAATTACAAAGTGAAACCCACCGTAAAAGGAGACTGAGGAAGCCCGATCCTACCACCTATTTTTCGTCAACACTGTTAAGTTCATTTTCTAAATGCTACTAGCCTCTGTCGGCTGATCAGCAGTTTAAAAAAAGAGATTTAAGTAGCATCACGAGTTCACTCGTTTTAGTCATTTAATGACGTTCTCTTTGACAGGCTACCGATTGTTCGATTTGATCTGCTCATGGATTGCAACTCTTTTGCCGCGTCTATTGCACTTACACCTTCCCCTACCGCCTAACAACTTAACACTGTAAGTTTCTTTCTTCAACTTCTTATTTCAAGTCCAGTTCAAAAGAATTTTTTCAGATTAACATGCACTCCACTCCACCTCCACCTTATCCTGGAGGTGAAGCACCTGCAAACGATGTGACCCTGAAAGATGACACGATAGTTCCGGAAAAGGTAAGTTTGTGTGGTAGGGATTTTGAGCAGTTTCTTCCCACTTCTCTTTTTTCTCTTGTGAAAGGGAGGGTCTGTTTCTTGTTTAATGTGTTGGATATTGCAGAAAAAGGAACCAAGCCCATCTGCGGCGAAGCCTGCTGCAGCTTCAGCAAGCTCACATCCACCTACTAATCCACCTATTGAAAGTGAGTCAGCACTTGTTTTTGCTGAAATTTTAGCAAGCAGAAAAGCCCGCAATTTTATTTTAGTGACTACAATAAAAACTGCACAGATAGAACAGGCAGCACCGAACACACCGTTACCCTACTCTACCGCGCCGACTACACCGCAACTTATCCAGGGTCAAGCGCAGCCAATGCAATTTTCGGCACAGCCAGTTCAACCAGGAATAAGGGAAGCTCCTTTTGCAATTAAAGTCTTCTATTTTG